ATATTAGTAGTAATTAATTTTCATTTTTATTTATTAACAATTAATATTTATTTATAATTAATAGGTGTCCATAATTAAAATGACATAAAGTTTTAAACATGCATAATTATAACATTTTTTTTTGTTGTTAACATCACATCTTTAGTTCTTTACCCTTATTTCATTTTCTCTCTCTTTACAACTTTTGAATATTTATGCATTTTATTAAGGGTAAACTTGAGAATTTGATTATTTACTTTTGAAACTGAAAACTTATTTTAGAACAAACATAAATAGAAACATTGATACTAATTTTATAATGGATGGAGTAATTTAATTTATGTGGATTATAATTTAGAAAAACTGACAAAAAAACTTCTTATAAACTATTACAATTACGTTTCAATAAACTGACTTATAAGTAAATTTATTTTTATCAAACAGTGCCTTAAACATCCCTCTATTTACTATTTAGATTGATCAAACTACACTTTTTAGACTCGTAAACATTAAATAAGTCAGAATTCTAAATCGATCTCAAACTATTGTTCAAACCGATAAAACTTACAACTTTTTAGACAAACTCATGCACTAATATTTAAAAATAAAATCTAACAAAAAATAAATGTTCATCTAGAAATATTATAAATACAATGTATAATTAAAGCTTATTTTTTATAAAACAAATATTATAAATGCAATGTATATGAAGACTTGGGATCATGTGAGACCCAGAGTTTTCGTGAGACCAATTCTCAACATTTGGATTAAATCTACAATCTGAACATTCATAATCATAAAATTGCCACGAGACTTCTCGATAATCATAAAATTGTCACCGTGCAACTTTAGACCATCAGATCATTAGCTTAAAAGTTGATCGATAAATATAAATTGATCTTACGTGTCTCACGAAAAACCCTTGGTCTCACATAAACTCAACCCTATATATGAAATGTCAAATAAAAACATTGACTATTTAATAAAATAAAAAAAAATATTATTATTATATAAAATCATATGTAATATTTTATATTATCATTAAAAAATATATATGACTTTGTATATGAATATATATATATATATATATATATATATATTTTCGTTGACACAAAGCAGTAGGGGAAAATCAAGTACAGAGGCGGTGCATAATAGGCCATGGTGTCGTAGGCAAGTCTATGTGGACCCTGCTTAGGTGGGTCTTGTGACATTTTACTATTTATAAAAGCCTACGAGTTTGTTTATTATTTACTATTGTTTTGTACATGATACTAAACGATTAAAAATCTTTTATTTAGACATTGTTTGTTAAATATAAGTTAGTTATTTTATATATATATATTTGTGTGATTATAAG